AAAAATGTGTTAATGTCAAGTTTTATATTTAATTTTTATATGAACTCACCAATTCAGATTAAAGATTAAATTTTATCCATCATTCACACTGAGGTGCAAACCTCACTTCTAGGTTATCTAAGGATGATCTTAGCCCCAATAGGTGGGGCTCCTGTTGGCTTCTCCTCATCCCTGGTGGTGCCACTGCCCAGAGCTAAGAGAAGTTTGGATATTGACTTTCTTGCAGGAAAAGGTTGCTCCACATGCGTTCTGCTTCAAGCTCATGTGTAACATCTTGTTGACTCCTACACACCTCTGGGCGGCGCTCAGAAGTGGTGACCCTGTGCAGAGCAGTGCCGAGTCGCTGTCATTTCAGGAACAGTGAAGGCAATGGGCGTGTGAGTGCCGGGGTGCATCAGTCACCACTGATTGGAACAGCTCCTCTATGGAAGCAGGGTTAGAATTAATTTGTACAAGAAAAACAAGAGAAAGACGGGCTGCCCTCAATACTAAAAACATAAAATGGTCATGGAATGTGCTGGAAAGAGCACAGGACTTTATGTACAACACCTGATCCTGAGCCAGGACCTGCTGCCGCTGCTGCCTTTCCGTTGCCTTTCTTAGCCTCTTTGAAATGTACTTCCTTGCCTGTTAAAGAAGAATAGCAATATCTCTTTTTTTGACATTGGGAAGAATAACAATAATGAAAGATAAAACATTTAGCGTGCCTACAACATGGGGAAGGGGTTCTGGGGATTAGCCTAGGCCATGCAGCCTGTTTCTGGGAATGTTAAGTGGGAAATCAAAATGACAATAAACCTATACAATTGTTTCCAGCCTCGGGACTTTATGAGAAATGCAAAATATGTATAATTTTCCTCATAGTCACATGATTACTGAATTGAGTAAGTTTCCTTGGTGTAGATTTTAGGAAATTGGAGCTGGAAATATAAAAATAAATTGAGTGATGTGTGCATTTTAATGTTACCTTCTGAAAATGATTTCTTAACTTATATGAATGAGTATAATCGTCAAGCACATGGACACGAATCTGGTCAGTGAAAAAGATAGTGTTGCAAGTGTGTAATTTCTTAAATGAAACACTCACCTCTGAGCAGAAGAAACAGGAGAGACATAAATCTTCACCCACAGTAGAACTTTTCACTTTCCATAGCAGCTGCACTGGCAATGGGCTTCCTCATGTGGTAATGAACTACTCCGGGTAAATGCAGGAGTTGGTTCAAGATTAGTTGAGCAATCCCTGGTGGGGATGCTGCAAAGAGCTCCCCCATCCATATCAGGGAATAAGTGGGTATTAAAATTTCCCCTCTATTGTGATTCCATTAAACTGCAGGACTTAAATACAGGGAGTAGTAGAGAGGTGTTTATGGCTGATTATATTTAAAACTGAGGGAATCCTGACAGGAGCCTTGATCATGGAGACAGAAAACAGAATAAAATGCTGTTCTCAGGAATGGCTTTGCCTCCTGGGTCATCTCAAACTAATTTCCTCTTCCAGCGAAGAGAAATGGGGTTTAAGGTTTTTACTAGTATGTCGGGGACCAACGGAAGATGTGCTTTTGTAAGGTTCTGGAGAAATGACATCAAAGGGAACCTACAGAGCAGGAGCCATGGTTCACCCTTTTCACCAGCAAAAAAGTGGAGGGGAGGTAGCTGTCAGCAACCAGCCCTCAGCCCCAGGCAGGGAGTGTGGATTCCTGGGCGGGGCAAAGGCCAGGACTAAGGCTGGGCCTATTCCAGGACATGTCTCAACAAAAGGATTTGAACTTTCAATATCAAATTAACTAGGAATAAGTATAAATAAGAAGCAAATGGGAAGTAAAAAGTCAGAGAAAAGCAAATTAAGAGGTAATTTTAAGGACTACTAACAATATGAAAACCTTCTCAACATAGGATTGTACAGCCAGACCACAGGATGAGACAAGAGAAATTGTTTCCACGTTGCTCTGTTGTGTGTGTGTGTGTGTGTGTGTGTGTGTGTGTGTGTGTGTGTGTTTTCCTAAATAGACTAAGGATAACTCATAAGTCATTTGGACAAAAAAGAAAAGTAGAAAGAGGACATGTCAGTTATAGCCCTCTCACCGGAACAGAGCAACTGTTCATACATGGGCTAGTTGTTGCACGACTTGTCTTCAAAGTAAGAACTTTGAGTTAAAAATGTTTAATGTCAGGTTTTATATTTAATTTTCATATGAACTCACCAATTCAGATTGTTAGTGTTAGTAGCTAGAAAAGGAAAGAGGCAAAGGGAATCAGACATTATTGCTCATAAAGGGCTGGGGACCATGAGCCTGTTTGCTTCACCACAAAGCTACAGCTGCACACACATTCCAGGGGATCACAGCATTGCCCCCACCAAGGATTCATAAGCCTCCCATGCCCTCTGTGGTACCCAGGTTGTTGGGGGAGAGGTGCAGGGAGCAGGGGGAGGTAGGCACATGCACAATAGAAGCACATGGCACAGGGGAAGGTGCTTCAGCACAGAGGCCCGTCAGTCTAACCTGGAAAAGGGATCATTGGTGGAGGATGGAACTATCAGAAGCCCAGAAGCCCTGAAAGCTTGGGAGATTGATTGGTTATTTTGAAAAAGCTCCTGGTTCTTCCCAAGTCCAAGATAATATAATCCTCAGGGATCAAAAAAATGATTCTCTCTCATCATTGATGTTTCTATCTCTCTCCCTCTCCCTTCCTCTCTGAAATCAGTAAAAATGTGTGCGTTTTTTTTAAATGTCATGGCAATGGCTGAAAGAGACCTGGTTGTTTTAACCAGTCAACAAGACACTTGTGATTACAAAGGTTAATAGTAGCAACACTCCCAATTTCCACACCATGTTTAAAAGTGAAATTGATTATTCATTGCACATTACATCTAGATTGGAGACTTAGAATTAGTCTAAAAATGTTTATCTTACTTATAACAATCCTAGAGGCCTGGTGCATAAAATTCATGCAGGGGGGTGGTGGGGGACGGGTGTTCCTCAGCCCAGCCTGCACCCTCTCCAATCTGGGACCCCTTGAGGGATGTTCAATTGCCCTTTTAGGCCCAGTGGGATTGGGCCTAAATGGGCAGTCAGACATTCCTCTCACAATTCAGGACTGCTGGCTCCCAATCACTTGCCTGCCTGCCTGATTGCCCCTAATGGCTTCTACCTGCCAGCTTGATCCCCCTAACCACTCCCCTGCCAGCCTGATTGATGCCTAACTGCTCCCCTGCTGGCCCCCAACTGCCCTCCTTTGCAGGTCTGATCACCCACAACTGCCCTCCCCTGCCAGCCATCTGTGGTGGCCATCTTGTGGTGGCCATCTTGTGTCCACACGGGGGTGGACATCTTGTGTGTTGGAGTGATGGTCAATTTGCATATTACCTCTTTATTATATAGGAGGATGGGTGTTATGAGCCATTTACTTTATAACTTGCAATTCATAATGGGTCCTTGAAATGCTTGCCTTTTAATCACATGAAAGAACACAGTTTCCACTGGCAACAATCAATGGTTATTTTAGCCTGTTAAAAATACAACTGTAATAACTATACATTATTCCTTAACTGTATACACATTATTGTATTTTCCCATCTTCCCGGTGTTGGACAGAGAGGTTTGCTGCCATTATTTTTACCATTGACAAAAACTAGAAAGTGCATTTTTGTTTACAGAGCTATTTTTTATTCCTTAAATTATACTACTAGCAACATAATTATTGGGTACGAATATAATCCAGGTTTTGATGTATAATGTTATGATCAGTTTTCCACTTGTACTCAGATGAGCAAATCCAGTGTGTGCCTGTTTAGTGATTCTCCAAGGCAAGATTTCAGTCGTTACTATGACCTTCCCTTCAGGAGACATTATGGGAATTAGTTACTAATCTGCCTCCTGAGAAAGAGAACACAGGGTACTTTGCAGGAAACTGCTAATTAATCCTCCTGACTCCCTAGTGAGAGTGGGATGCAGGAGCATCACCACCCAAATTCCACAGATTCCGGAGAGATCATTATGATTTCTTCCAAATGTGGCCTCGCTGACTGCTGAGGTTTCCGAGAAGGTCCCGGGCCTCTGCATCTACAATGCCCAGGGTCTCTCTGTGAGCACATCGATGCCCTGGGTTCTAGTCTGGGACTCCACCCTGTGTGTTCTCCAGGCAAAACCTTTTTGTGAATGACTTCCCCACAATAAAGATAATGATGGAACTTACAGAATCAAGACCATGTTTAAAAGTTATGTCTCACTTCCCTTCAGCTTGTGGCTGTGGGCATTTGATGGTGGGCATCACCAGAGGCCTTCAGCGTTCCTTAGC